AAAAAAAAAAAAAAAAAAAAAAACACAATTGGCTATGAGTCGATAATTATCAAAGCTTAGAGATATGTACATGAGGATTCCCTGTACTACTTCCCTATTTTTGGTTATGTTTTAAATTTTCCACAGTAAAAAGGGTTTTGTTTTGTTCTGTTTTGTTAAAAAGGCCAAAACCGCTTTCATATTGAACTATCTCCTCTCACATCTTCATTTAACTTCCTTAGATAAAACGCCAAGTAGTAATGCTTTGATTCAAGTTCTCAAAGGCTTTCCCTGGAACAGAGAAAAAGCACAAGTCCAGAGCGGAGGGCTCTCAGCTGCTTCATGGCCAAGGTTTGCCATTGTGCAAGTGGGATTTTAGGACTGGACCTGGAGCACTTCCTCACACAGAGGCAGATACTTAACTGTGCAGCCTGAAGGAGAAGCCGAATATTACAAGTGGGCAACCCTAAGGCTTGGAGTCAACCTTACACACTTGAGACCTTGAGACCCCTGAGCCTTGGTTTCTTCATCTGTAAATGAGGGACGACAATACACAAAGTTCCCAGTTTGATTCCTGGGACATCTATACCAATTATAATGCTATATAAAGTGTTTGTTTAGCTTAGTATTAACTATATGTAGTTTGTAACTTAGAAGGTTTCTAAGGTTCTCTTCCCAAATTTCCAAAATTTAGGTCTTGCTAGAATATACAGTTAGCATTCCTTCCTAGGGAAAAAAAAAAAAACATTTTAACAACCAAATATTTACATGTTTTCCATCACAACCAGAAGAGTTTTTAATGAACTGGTCCATTTCACCGCAATTCTGTTCTTAATGGATATATTTGTCACCATTAGAAACCAAAGGTCGTTTTTTTGCTTTTCCCCTGTAATGAACAGAGGTTCTGTTTTCCTATAAGAGAAAAAAAACTGCAGCATTTCCCTTAGTGGATTCTTTCTAAAACCCAGAAGTTCTTAAATCGGCACAAATGTTAAGAGGGGAAAAAACAATCAAAGTCCATTTTTTGATCAATAAACAATTGCTTCAGTAATGAGTTCCTTATCAACTTCAAAGATATTTTACTTTAGGGACCAGCCATTACCATCATTTAAAAAATTTGTTTCTTTGTTTTGTTTTGTTTTGTTTTTAGAGAGAGTCTCGTTTTGTTGCCCTTGGTAGAGTTAGTGTTTTTTGGGTTTTTTTTTTTTAATGTTCAGCAGTCCTCGTTAAGTTTCATGACCATCCAACTTCTTCCCTAGCATCTATGTTGATAGAAAAATCAATCAGTAATGTTTTCCACTTTATTTTTCTAAAGCATCACTACAGGATAGGAGCTATTTCGTTTTCTCTTCAATGGCAGAAGAAGGGAATGTTGGCACCCTAAAGTATATAGCTATAGACTATATTCTTGGAAGGTACAGAAGCACAAGCTTTACACGACTATAAATTCTATGATGCCCACCAGTCACTTTCCCTCCTCATTAGTCCTTACTTACCCACTAGCACAGTGATGACTTTGTTGCTGGCATATTGTTCTATCTCCCGCAGCCACTCGGGAAGGCAACGGAAGGATTCCTCACAGGTGATGTCATAGGTGAGGATCAAGGCATTGGCGCTTCTGTAATAACTCTGGGTAATGGACCGAAATCTCTCTTGACCTGCTGTGTCCCAGATCTGTAGCTATAAAAGCATAAGAGAAGGATCAGGTTAGAGAAGCAGAAAATTGCTTTTGTTTGAAAATGGGAGCACCTTCCTCCAAATTATTCTGTAGTTATTTTCCGCCCTAAAAAAAAAAAAAAAAGTACTGCATCCTCATTTAAAAGTAAATTATGTTTGTGATTTCCCCTTTAGAATAATATATTTTTTCCAATTTTAATATCAGATGTATCCAGATTAAGCAGAATGATTTTGAAGTATTTCTTCTTTTTCTTTTCTTCTTCTTTTTTTTTTTTGAGACAAGAGCCTCAAGCTGTCCCCCTGGGTAGAGTGCTGTGGCATCACAGCTCACAGCAACCTCGAACTCCCGGGCTCAAGCGAGTCTCCTGCCTCCACTTCCCAAGTATCTGGGACCACAGGTGCCCGCCACAACGCCTGGCCATTTTTTTTATTGCAGCCATCTTTGTTGTTTGGCGGGCCTGGGCTGGATTTGAACCTACCACCTTAGGTGTATGTGGCTGGCGCTCTAGCTACTTGAGCCACAGGCACCAAGCCTTCTTTTTCTATCGTCTATAAGATTTGGCATGATCGGCTTTTTGAAATATCAGTGGTCTATTTTTTGAGATTTTGGGAAAAAAAGTAATAAGAAGTTAATTGATGACTCTATACTGAACCTCAGAGTCAAAGCATTCTATAATAGTCATACTCTTATTTGACAATGTGAATGTTACTTTCTTTGCATTACTATTATTATTATTGCTTAATACTTCATTGCAGCAATTGTCTGATTTCTTTTCTGAATGTATTTGTCTTTGTTCATTATTTACGAGGTTTTTGTTTCTAGTCCTTATCTTAAACATTGTTATTGTTGGTAAATTGTAAGCCTTTTAATTCTGTGAAGGCAAAACGTGGAAACCTAATAATCACATGTATATGTAAAAATAAAAAAAAAATTTTAAAAAGTACTTAAGATTTTTTTTTTTCTTGAATGTGTTGGGTGTGTTTCTGGTTAGGAAGAGGGAATTGTTTTGTTCTTTATAATTTAAGAGTTTCCTCTTTGTTCTTAAATAATAAATTTAGAAAAATTTATTGAGAATGTACTATATGCCAATCTCTATTCTGAATATTTTACATGTAGTTAACTCACTTATTCCTCAAAATTACCTGATGAGGTAGGTCCTATCACCGAGGCATGGGGAGATTAACTTGTTCAACATGTTACAGCCAGAATGTCCCAGACCCAGAGCCAGTTCGACCAGGCATGGTGGCTCTGGAGTCTACGCTCTTAACCACCATCCTGTATTATAGAAGTCCCAATGCAGAACAAGCTGTCATCCTGTGACTATTGCTATTTCAGTCAGCAACTAGAGAGGGGGGAGGGATCCAACTTCACCACCTTTTCCAGTTCAAAATTCAAACAAATGTATTAAGGTATTATCTTTGTTAATGAAAATAGGAACAATGCCATAGCAGACAACAAAATAATTTCTTTCCACCACTTTTAAGCTTTATGACTTTGAGCAAACAAATCTCTTTAGGCTTCAGTTGTTTCTTTATAAAAATGGGTTAATAATATGCAACCTGCTAAAAGTTCAAATTTTCTGAAGTCATCTACCAGTTCTAAGATCTAAAAACTGATGGTTCTAATAACAGCGAAGGCAAAATAATTCTCACTTCTCCTCCCTGAATTACCCTGTCTAGAGCAGATGACTATGAAAGAAGAGAGACTGCTGAGTGTAGAACAAATCACAAGGACTTGAAAAGTAAGGAATCAACAGCAACCATCTTCCCTTCTAATTGAATACATTTCCTAGGTCACAGGTGCATTCATCTCCATAGACATGTCACTTCGTCAGGGAAGGATTTCCGGAACCCTCAGACTAGGTCAGGTGCCCCATCCCCTATCCCACATGGTCTTCCTTGCAGAATCTTTGTCAGTCTTCCTCATGACACCTGACACACTCGAATCGTTTATTGTAATAAATGTTTATTTTTATTTATTTATTTATTTTAGACACAGAGTCTCATTTCGTCGCCCTCGGTAGAGTACGGTGGCGTCACAGCTCACAGCAACCTCCAGCTCCTGGGCTTAGGCAATTCTCTTGCCTCAGCCTCTTGAGTAGCTGGGACTACAGGCACCTGCCACAATGGCCAGCTATTTTTGTTGCAGTTTGGCTGGTACCGGGCTCGAACCCACCACTCTTGGTATATGGGGCTGGCACCCTGCCCACTGAGCCACAGGCGCCACCCTGTAATAAATGTTTAATAGTTGTCTTCCCCACTAGACTAAAAGCTCCATGAGGCAGAAGTCAGGGTCCATTTACTAACCAAATACAGCACCTGGCAAATAGCAGATGCTCAAGTATTTATTGACGATCTCATTTAATCCTTACAATGGCGTGGTAAGGGGGGCAGGTTTATGCCTCCCCTTATTAAGAGAAACTCTGTGCCCTCTAACTGGGGATTCACAAAGCTGGGGCTCAGACTCCAGGTCTAGGTCTTCTCTTGCCAGCTGAAGACCCGTTCTATACAACCAGGCTGCCTTTGCCACTGGAGACTAATTTAAATAGACTCTGTATCCAAAAGGGTAAATCAGTCGGTGTCAACCTGTGTTTATACTAGCTTAGCTAAAGAGATTGCTGAGTGACCTATAGGCCCTGCCATGAATCAGCAGCACACAAAAGCTCTCCATTGATCTGCAGTTGCAGCTGATCTTTGATGACATACATGAAACTCTGTGTATGCTAAGGGCAACCATACAGATGTTATGGGTTTTGCTGGGACAAAAACTATTCCTCTTCTCTGCCTCAAATCTAAGGATATGGGTCCCATTCTACCAGTGATAGGTCTTAGAATAACAGACTATTGTTATAAATCCTTAGAATTTAGAATATTTAGAATATTTAGTCTTTAAGTATTTAAGACTAAATTTAGAATAGTCTTAGAATAACAGACCATTGTTATAAACTGAGCCTCTAACACACTTGTTTTGAGTGTTTGAATATTCAAACACTTTATTTAAACATTAAAATATTGCCAAGATATATGCTACTTTCTTATAGGAGGCCTGTTTCTAGTCTGAAATTGGATTGGACAGTTAATGTTTTTTGTTGTTGTTGTTGTTTTGTTTAGCAGGCCCTGGCCGGGTTCAAACCCACCATCCCTGGTGCACAGAGCTGGTACTCTTACCATTGAGCTACAGGTGCCCAGCCTGAATAGTTGATTATTGAGGATATTCCTATTCTACTGCTTTTAACATCACCATTCATTTGCTGCTTCTCAGCATTTGTAGAATAAATATATGCAGGGTGCCATGCTAGGCACAGGGAGGACACAAAAATGAATAAAACACAGTCCTTGATCTCAAAGAGCTCACAGTCTATAGGGAGGACATACCCATAGTTAATTAACAATAGTACAACATGAGATATTCTGTTAAAGAGACACAAGAAGAAGAGAATGTCTCCTAGTGTTAGTTTCATCCTGTTGATATGTTTTCAGCACTGTGGCCAGCCGTGGCTTTCTAACCACCCTCACCCACAGCTTGGGGCAACATTGCCTGTCTACTCTCTTTGCACTGCTACTTAGCCTCCATTGCCTTGCTGCCATAATAACGTATTGCAACCATTGGCTTACTAGTCATTTCCTTTACTAGACTGAGTTGTTTTGTTTTTTTGGTTTTTTTTTTTTTTTTTGAGACAGAGCCTCAAGCTGTCCCCCTGGGTAGAGTGTCGTGGCATTACAGCTCACAGCAACCTCCAACTCCTGGGCTCAAGCGAGTCTCTTGCCTCCACCTCCCAAGTAGCTGGGACCACAGGCGCCTGCCACGACGCCCGGCTATTTTTTGGTTGCAGCCATCATTGTTGTTTGGCGGGTCCGGGCTGGGGATTCGAACCTGCCGCCTTAGGTGTACATGGCTGGCACCTTAGCCGGTTGAGCTATAGGTGCCGAGCCTTTTGTTTTGTTTTGTTTTGTTTTATTTTTTGAGACAGAGTCTCACTATGTCACCCTCAGTAGGTGCCATGGCGTCACAGCTCACAGCAACCTCATACTCTTGGGCTTAAGTGATTCTCTTGCCTCAGCCTCCCAAATAGCTGGGACTACAGGTGCCCACCACAATGCCCAGCTATTTTTTGTTGTAGTTGTCATTATCTCATTGTTGTTTAGCTGGCCCAGACCAGGTTCAAACCCACCACCCTTGATGTATGTGGCTGGAGCTGTAACCCCTATGCTATAGGCACCAAGCCTAGACTGAGTTCTTTGAGGGGAGGGCTTTCTCCTATTTGACCTTACCCCCTCCCCAGTGTCTTTCTATCACAGTACATAGTATGTAGTGAACACATTTGAATGATGGCTAACAAAACCAAACAAGGATTGTAGAATCATAAAGGAGAGATTACTTAATTCTATTTAACAGAGTCACAGGGTATCAAAGAAGGTCTCACAGATAAAACAGTATTGGAGCTAGATGACAGTAGATTCCTAGTGGGCAAAGATGCTTTACCTCCCACAGTGCTTGGAACAAAATGTCTACTGTAACATGGGATAGATGGATGAAAGGAGGGACAGGTGGTTGAAGGAATGAATAGAGGTACATACTTTCATAACTTTCTTTACAACACTGACCTGATTGAGGCTTGGCGCCTGTAGCTCTAGCGGCTCAGGTGCCAGCCACATACACCAGAGCTCGCAGGTTCGAATCCAGCCTGGGCTTGCCAAACAACAATGACAACTACAACCAAAAAATACTCAGGTATTGTGGCAGGCACCTGTAGTCCCAGCTGTCAGACTGAGGCAAGAGAATCACTTAAGCCGAGCTGTGAGCTGTGATGCCACAGCACTCTACCCAGGGTGACCACTTGAGGCTCTGTCTCAAAGGAAAAAAAAAAAAAAAAGAAGAAGTAGTACAGCAAATCTTTTATTTCTGTTATAGTTAATCTAACATTAAAATGTTTTAGACTGGGCTTAGAGTTTTGCTCCTTACCAATTAATTTATGATAGTTTAAAAAAATCAGTGAATAAGACAAAATTCTATACTTTTTCCAGATTTTTTATGTTGCTAAAATACATACAACAAAATTTATCATTTCAAATACTTTTTTTTTTTTTTGAGAAAGTCTTACTTTGTCGCTCTTGGTAGAGTACCATGGCATCATAGCTCACAGCAACCTCAAACTCCTGGGCTCAAGTGATTCTCTGGCTTCAGCCTCCCAAGTAGCTGGGACTAGAGGCTCCCACCACAGCACCTGACTATTTTTAGAGACAAGGCCTTGCTCTTGCTCAGGCTGGTCTTGAACCTGTGAGCTCAGGCCAACCACCCACATCAGCCTCCCAGAGTGCTAAGATTATAAGGCATGAGCCATGGCACCCAGCCTACAACCACTTTTTAAGTATATAGTGCAGTGTTCTATATGTTTTAACTACATTTTCCATACAAAACGACCTTTATAATGCAGACTATTTTAAAAGAAGGGATTCTCTTTAACTTTGGCTTTACTGATTTGGCACTTAGCTGAAATAGGTACAATAATCTTTCTGGTATCTTGGCTTCCCTGAATTCAATCCCAGAGGCCATCCTAGAACGAATGATACTTGCAGGGGAGGCCAAGGCAGGTGATGAGAGGTCAGGAGAGAGACCTGGCCTGCCCACTCACCAGGTGGGCAAGGCTGCATAAATCAGCAGATTCTCTTTTGTGCAGACTTTACAGGCTCAGGAAAAAGATACTCAACACCAAGAAAAGGTAGTCAGCGAATGTTAAAGGACAACAATAAGACAACAACTGGGCAGTTCAGCCCTCTTCTAATAAACGACTAAAGAAATTACTCCTCTTATGTCCACATGTTAATGAGGCCCTTCGATTAACCACTGAACACACTGAATACGGTAGTGAATGGAGAGCTGGGGCCCTAGAAGATAAAAGCAGGGTGTGAAATCCATGTAGGTACCAACCAGAAAGTGGGAAAAAAAAATAATGTATTTGGAGTGGGCTGTAAGGACAGGAAGGGGGCAGAAGGATGCTCCAGAGGCATTGGCAGGATTGACTGGCAATTGATTAATTGAGGGTCATTCTGTATCTTAAGTATTGAGCTAGAAAGAATCATAGGCAAATTGATTGGGACTAGATTTGGGAGATTAGCCAACTTTGCTTCTTACAGGTAAAGTTTCAGAAGCCTGAAGAGGGACTGGGGACAGGAACTGTGCTGTGAACACAAAGAAGTGTAAGACACAAACCCTGCTACTGGAGAGCCTGGTTTTGTGATGGAGTCAGATGTTACAAAAAGATGAATTATAGCAGAATGTACTAAGCACTTAGAAATAAGGTTATGGTTTGCAGAAAGTAGAATATATATAATATCTAAGCCTGAGGATTCAGGAAAGAAAACTAAGCCTGGTCCTTAATAGTAGGGACCATTTCTTATTCACCCTTATTCACAGCCAGTGCCTGGCTTTCAGCACACACTAACATTTCTGGTAAAACAAATGAATTCAACACATATGAATATATTTATATGAATGGGAAATCCAAACATCTAGAAGTAAAATGCATGAACCAGTGATTATCTTAACCCAACTCCTTGGGCTGGCAACCATCTCTCCTCTGATGGAACAACAGAAAAGTACCAGAGGCTCTTCCTGCCCCCTTCCTGTCCTTACAGCCCAGCTCCTTCTCCCCACTCCAAATACATTATTTTTTCCCCCACTTTCTGGGTTCATGGTACTTACATGGATTTCACACCCTGTTTTTATCTTCTAGGGCCCCAGCTCTCCATTCACTATCGTATTCAGTGTAGATGTCTGTGCACTAGAAACCATTTTAAGGGGTCAGGGCTGGAAGAGACACTGGACGGATTTCTGTCCCCCCGACAGAAGCCCTACCTAAACACGTCTCTGTGATGGCAGGTATCTCTAAAATGCTGCAGGCACAGCTTGGAGCTTCTCTGGCCTTCCCAAGGCACTCAGGGAAGGAGTGCAGGTACATAGCGGAGAAGATGCAGGTAACAGGGACCCAACCGGGGGGGCTTAGACTGAGATCTAGCCAGAATTCTGATGCCAGTTTTCTCAGTGCTACTGGTGGCTGGGTTTTTGCTTCCATCCGTGAGACTCAGCTCTGAAAGGTCTGTCAGGGGAATTTCAGTAATTCTGAACCATGTATAAATCCTAGGGCACCGAAGGTCAGTCGGCCCCACCCCATGTAATTTAGTCTCACTCCACATTTCTTTCCATCACCTTTTCTTTTCCTTACTCCACAATCGGTGGAGGGCCAATGGTGCTTCAGTCCCTTCTTCTTTCATGGCAGAGGAGACCCTAGGGAAGCAGAGTGGTGTGTCCACGGGCCAAACCTGTTCCAATCCTGCCTGCCTTCCTTCCTAACAGTACAGCCACAGATAAGTAAGTTACTTAACCTCTCTGAAGTCTATAAAACCACTTACCTCACAGGGTTTACGGTAAAGATTAAGCTAAATATAACACATGTATAAACGCCTAGGGGAGGCACTGACATATATTTAATACTGAGTACTCAATAAACACTATCTATCTCCCTTCTCCTCTTACTGGACATAACACACTCCTTCCAGATACCAAACCATCCAGAATTCACAAAGGTGAGGTAGGAGTGAGAGGCCACAGGGTAGAGATCTCTTCTTTACTAGAAATAAGGGTATCACAAGAAACAGGATAATTTAAATAAATGATTCATAATGAAATGACCCACAGTGAAATATAGGAGGCAAGAATCTCCTTTGTGGGGCTGCTGTTTAGAGGAGGGAGCTCTGCTTATTGACCCAACTCAAGAGACCCAGAAAGAAATCTCTTTCTTGTCTTATTTTTTTTTTTTCTTTTTTGGCCAGGGCTGGGTTTGAACTGGCCCCCTCTGGTATATGGGGCTGGCACCCTACTCCTTGAGCCACAGGTACCACCCTCTTCCTTGTCTTTATGTCACCTCCAACGTGAGAGGAGACAGGATAAAAACTTGCCTTAGACATTCTCTCTGTGTCCAGTCTGCAAACACATCATCCAAAAATCTCTTCTTACCTCCATAAAGGGTCTGAAGAACACTGTTTAAAGACAAGCTTCCAGCTCAGCACCCCGTAGCACAGTGGTTATGGCGCTGGCTACATGCACAAAGCCTGGCGGGTTCGAACCCAGCCCGGGCCAGATAAACAACAATGACAACTGCAACACAAACAAAAATAGCCGGGCATTGTGGCAGGCATCTGTAGTCCCAGCTACTTGGGAGGCTGAAGCAAAAGAATTGCTTAAGGCCAAGAGTTTGAGGTCACTGTGAGCTGTGACACCACAGCACTCTACCAAGGGTTACATGGTGAAACTCTGTCTCAAAAAAACAAAACAAACAAACAAGCTTCCATGGCTGAGTATGCTTTTCTCAACATGGGTTTCAATTAGGAGATTTAATAAATGTAAAGAGAATACTACTCCCCTAAACTAAAACACCACACACAAAACCTGTATTGAACATTTAGCATCTTACCTTTACTTTCTCACCATTAATCTCCACTGTCTTAATCATAAAATCAACTCCAATTGTGGCTCCTTGACCTGGGGGGAAAAGACCCTAAAGAAGAAAATGGAAAATAATAGTTAAGAAAATCTGTCAATTAAATGAAATTCCTCCCCTAACCCCCACCACTGACCATCTTTAGCTCCTTCCTTTCACTGAGTTAAATGATAGAGAAGAGAACTCTGGCCAGAGTCACAGGAGCCCTGCTTAGCTTTGTCTTGAGGGTAAGGGAGAGGAGGGAGAAAGTAGGAGAGAGAAAACGCTAAGAAGACAGGGTGAAGGGCTGGGCGCCTGTGGCTCAAGCGGCTAAGGCGCCAGCCACATACACCTAGGGTGGCGGGTTCGAATCCCCAGCTCGGGCCCACCAAACAACAATGATGGCTGTAACCAAAAAATGGCCAGGCGTTGTGGCGGGCGCCTGTAGTCCCAGCTACTTGGGAGGCAGAGGCAGGAGACTCGCTTGAGCCCAGGAGTTGGAGGTTGCTGTGAGCTGTGATGCCACGGCACTCTACCCAAGGGGATAGCTTGAGGCTCTGTCTCAAAAAAAAAAAAAAGACAAGGTGAAGGACAAAATCAGGAAGAGCAGGGAGGACCTGATTTTAAGAATGAAACAGAAACATCAGACACAACATGGAGCCACAGGGATGATCAAGATTGTTGAATAGCTGGGCATTGTAGCTTGTGCCTGTAATCCCAGCACTCTGGAGGCTGAGGTGGGTGGATTGCTTGAGCTCACGAGTTTGAGATCAGCCTAAGCAAGAATGATACCTCCTCTCTTAAAAAATAACCGGGCATTGTGGTGGGTGCCTATACTCCCAGCTATTTGGTAGGCTGAGGCAAGAGAGCCACTTGAGTCCAAGAGTTTGTTTACGATGCTACAGCACTCTACCAGGGGCAAGAAAGTGAGACTCTGTCTCAAAAAAAAAAAAAATTGTCAAATAGGGGCAAGATGGATAGGTCCTCTAAAAGAGGTGACATCAACGAAGCTTAAAACTGGTTATCAGTCTTGGTCATGAATGGCCCCCGGGTGAGCAATAATATGGAAAAACAAACAAGAACCCATCATGAGAATCAGAAAGACAGTGAAGCTTCCCAACTTTCTCTGCCCTGAAGGTGATCACTGTTTTCTTCAGCACAATGTATCATGCATTGATAAACACATGGGATATGGAACAATGACACTGGGAAGATAATCTAAGAAAATAAAGTCATCAGGAAGACAGTAGAGTAGAAATAATGTTAAACCAGGAGGCAGCGGTCTTGCGATCTCTGTGAGATCTAAGACAAACCACTCTCTCTGGTCCCCAAATTCAGTATGAGGCTGATATAAACAATCTTAAAAAAAAAAATTACTGGGCAGCATCTGTGGCTCAGTGAGTAGGGCGCTGGCCCCATACGCCAAGGGTGGCAGGTTCAAACCCAGCCCGGCAGAGACCTGCAACAACAAAAACGCCAGGCATGGTGGCTCACACCTGTTGTCCCAGCACTGTGGGAGGCCAAGGCGGGTAGATTGCTGGAGCTCAGCTGAGTTTGAGACCAGCAGAAGACCAGCATGAGACAGAGTGAACCAAGAGTGAGACCTCATCTCTATCAAAAAAAAAAAAAAAAAAAAAAACCCAGACGTTGTGGCAGGCACCTGTAATCCCAGTTACTTGGGAGGCAAAGGGCAAGAGAATCGCTAAAGGAAGAAAGAAAAAAAAATTAAAAAAAAAAAACAGCTGGGTGTTGTGGCAGGCACCTGTAGTCCCAGCTACTCGGGAGGCTGAGGCAAGAGAATTGCCTAAGCCCAGGAGTTGGAAGTTGCTGTGAGCTGTGACACCACAGCACTCTATGGAGGGTGATAAAGTGAGACTCTGTCTCTATCAAAAAAAAAATTACTTCAAACTAGAAACTTAATCAGAAAGACGATATATTGTGGCGGGCACCTGTAGTCCCGGCTGCTTGGGAGACTAGGGCAAAAGAATCCCTTAAGCCCAGGAGTTTGAGGTTGCTGTGAGCTATAACGCTATGGCACTCTACTAAGGGCAACATAGTAAGACTCTGTCTCAAAAAAAAATGACAGTAATAGCAAAAAAATAAAAATAGAAAATAAAAAGTCAAAGATATGGCCCCACACAGTGGCTCATACCTGTAATCCTAGCATTCTGGGAGGCTAGGGATTGCCTGAACTCAGGAGTTTGAAAGCAACCTGAGCAAGACCCCAGCTGTGGAAAAAAAAAAAAACAAACAAACAGCCAGGCATTGTGTCTGGCACCTGCAGTCCCAGCTACTCAGGAGACTGAGGCAAGAGATTGCTTAAGCCCAAGAGTTTGAAGTTGCTGTGAGCTATGATGCTATGGCACTCAAACCCAAGGTGACTGAGACTCTGCCTCAGTAAATAAATAAAATAACTGAAACTTAAAAAAAAAAAAAAAGAAAAAGAAAGACGATATAAAATTGTAAATGTAATATAATTTGCTATTGTATATATTATTTCCTATAAGCTTAGGGAGAGAGTTGGTAATAGTAAGGAATTCTATTAAGAAAGAACTCTTCACCTAGTTTCTCTTCCCTATTCACTTATACGTCAGAATTCCCAGAAATTAAAGTAAAATGGACTTTATTAGTTCTGGCAGCTCGATCAGAATATCTTTAATCAAGAATTCTCTAATTAAAGTTTTAACTTAAAAGGCTGAGCTTCAAACCAAAAGAAAATCCCCCAGTGCCTGTCTGCAAAAAGATATAAACATTCATAACTTTACTTACAAATATTGAATCAATTTTCTTCTGTTTTGGCTTGGCTCAGATATAAGGCTGCCAAGCTTCAAGTTTCTAGCTCCAGCTGTTTTGCAGCTCAACAAATACCAAAAAATAAAACAAATCCTTCCCAAAGTTTCCCCCACCATTTTGTTCCCCAAACTCTTATGCCTCAAAAACAGCTGAATGCAATTTATTTTAACTGTCTACTAAATAACAAAAACAAACATAATCCAGCCCTGAAATATGAACTTATGAGGGAACTAGGGGGCTGGGAAGTGTAGAAAATAGGCAGAAAAGGAAAATAAAGAAGAAAAACAAGTATGCCTATTGGTAAACAGTACTGTTTAAAAATGGAGGCATTTTCACTCTTGTTGGCAAGGTTTTCATAGAGAATGATCTCTGAGGTTAGAACATACAGGAGATAAAAATTACCAGGCTGGGAACCAGGAATCCCGGGTTCAAATCCTGGCCTTGCCACTAGCATGATGTGAGATGCAAACCAAGCCGTGCAGTCTCTCTAGTTCTGAGCTCTTCCTCTATAAAATGAGAGAAGTGAGCCGAATAATCTCTAAGTGACTTTCAGTACTAAAACAAGGAAGTTTTGATAAAGGGACTGAAAATTTCTCTGCTTCTCTGCAGACTTGACCTTCTGTCAGAAGCAGAAAAGAGTACTAATGTTAAGTGGAAGTAAAACTCATTGGAGTTTTCAATATATCTCTGCAGCGGTTGACTGAGCCCAGATGCCTGTTAGCTTGTTACTTTTGATTTCACTCAGCCAAGGTTTTGTCAAAAGCAAGGGTTTATTCTGTGTTCACTTATCAAGGGAAAAACCTTGACCTTTCCAAAATGACTCTGTATCCTAAATCTGTTTGTGTTATTCAATCTGCCTTTCCAATTTTCCACAGAACCACAGACTGTCAAAACTGGAAGGGGCCTTGGAGCTCCCCAGGCCCCTCATGTGCAGCAGGGAGGAGGGAGGCAGCTGACCCAGGCTCGCAGGGGAAACCATGGGCAGAACTGGGACCAGGACCCGAGTCTCAACAATTTAGCCAGTGCTCCTCCATGGCACCAGGTTGCCCTGGGCCCTAGACAGAAGAGCGAGTCTCAATTTTCCCAGGGGACACTTTAGGAAAATGCAAGATATACACACAAATGTCCTGAAAAGGGCACCATTCATGTTTTTCAGGGGAAAACACAAAGGAGGTCAACTTCAGAACGATATGTTGGGCGGCACCTGTGGCTCAAAGGAGTAGGGTGCTGTCCCGTATGTCAGAGGTGGTGGGTTCAAACCCAGCCCCAGCCAAAAACTGCAAAAAAAAAATTTTTTTTTAAAGAAAAATGAATGATTTGTTACTAATTTTTATATAAAAAGGTATATAATCTCTGTCAGTGATTCTCCAAAGGGAACTCATATTTGGGTCATATATAAGGATTCAACCCAGAGGGACCAATCGATTACTTTCAGGTAATATTTCACTATTTTCATTTCATTCCTGTTGAAGAGGTTTAAAAAACCTGCATACTTGTTTCTTTTTTTTTTTTTTT